ATATTTTTGTCTCCAAAATTATAGAGTGTATATCTTATTATGATAGCTAACATCATAGAAAAAAAAACATTTGAATTGCCTTTTGGGAAACATTCAATTTAATTCGATTCGATATTGTAATTTTGTCTCTTAAACAAAGTTAGGATATTTAAAATTTCTAATCTCTCTGAATAAATAAAGAAATTTTCAAAAAATAAATTCTCAAAAAATAAAGAAATTTGAACAATTTGAAAATTTTATAAGCAATTTGTTCGATTAACATTCAATTTAATTCAATTCGATATTATAATTTTGTCTCATAAACAATATTTAGAATTTCTAATCTCTCTGAACTCAGATTAATGAATATATGAAAATTTCATGAGCAACTTATTTCGATTGACAATTTTTATTTTAGAAATATTAACATTATTGAAAGATTTTATGAATGATGTGTTAAAAATTCTTTAAATTAGTTTCATAAAGATAAATAAAAAAATGTAATTTTTGATGCTAATGTTGTATCCTGTTGCTGATACCTGTTGTGGGTAAAGTGACAATTTAAATCGATTAAAAGGTCATTATATTAATCGATGACACAAAGTCACCTTTACAGTTAATAAAAGTAAAGGTAATCTAAGTAGGGCAGTCCCTAAACTGACCCCACCCTTCCTTCCGTTCACCTTTCACATTTTCACATCTAAACATGTAAATTAATGATAGCCAAAAATAAGTTTTTGAAACATACTCAAGTTGATTTTCTTCGTAAAAAAGAATCATATTAGCTGAATGAGCTCATTTCATGTATACAATTGAATACCTTATTAATTGTTTTAATTTTATCACCATCATTGAATAAGGGATTCAGTATATTTTTTGATTGCGCCTTGTAATTTTAAATCCAACCGAACTCCTCAATGAAACTTTGGGAGCTTTTTAATATACGATTTTTTTAAATTTTCGTTACTCAGAAACTATCAGACCGATTTCATTTAAATTTTGCTTTTTAGTCATTACATACCTTTAAATGATCTAAAAATTTGCATACTCATCATTTTTTTCAGCTATAATTAAATAAACAATTGTATTTTTTGCGTGCATGGATTGGATAAACGAATGCACTTTAAAAGAAGAAAATTAAACTAATAATCTCTTGTCCGATCACATATTTTGAGAGTACAAAAACTGTATGTTCGTTCAAAAAGAGAGTCTATCTCGTAAAGTGAATCAATTAGCACATTTGAGACCACCCATTTGAACAAAAGTACGCGAAATCATAAGATTTATTGAGGGTGTGCAGTGCGCCAAAAACCTGAATACATTTTGATCAAATGATCGGATTTTCATGTTTTAGGACTCAATCTTAATGGTTCGAGAAGGTGACTTCAAATATGCTAATTATTTAGTTCAAACAGTATTTGGAGTTACGAAATGAGACATTCTCTGAATAACGACGAATTTGGACCCCCAAAATATATCTGGGAAATAGGGTCCAAATAGTTTGGTCAGGAGAACCGTCCCCTAAGTATTAATTTCACTTTTTTGTATATTTCGCCATATTTCGAGAACTTTTTAAGCGAATTTTTTTGTACACAACTATAAAATTCTTTTATTCAAAGATAATACTATGCAAAATATTGCTTTTAGTAAATATGTATTATTTTATGTAATAACAGTCGCAAATTATTTTCATTGTTAGGTATAAAATTTTTTTACATCATTTTAAATAATGAAATTTTAAAGTGAAAATTACAAAATTTTAGCGAAATTGGGGTTCTTGAGAAAACGAAGTTTGAAATTCGATTTTTCGGGAACAGATTCTGCCTTAAAAAACTACGAACTTTAAAATTATGTATATTTCACAATTTAAATTTTTCTTTCACTATTTTCAAATAAAATAATTAAAATTAATAAATATTTACTAAAATAAATTTTTTGCATGGAATTATCTTTGGATAAACGAATTTTGTGCGAAACGTTTTCAAATGGCTCGAGGGAGTGACCTCAAATGTGCTAATTAATAAGTGCAAACGATATTTTAAGTTAAGAAATCAGACACAAAAACTTTCTGAATAAACATTAAATGTTTTCGATGGATTCGGACATCCAAAATGCAAGGGGTCTCGGAAATATGGTCCCTGTAGTTTGGAAATTTTTGACCATTCTTAATTCTTATCTGGACCATTCATATTTTTATTTTTGACCTATAGTATTTTTTGACCATTCTTAAGTAAACTAATAAAAAATAATAAATATTTACTGAAAGTTATTTTTTGCATAGAATTATCTTTGGATAACCGAATTTTACAATTGTGTGTAAAAAATTTTCAATTCGCTTAAAAAATTCTCAAGATATAGCGAAATATGCAAAAAGTAAAATTAACATTAATCGGTCCAAACTTTATACGGTTTTCCCGACCAAACTATTAGGACCAAATTTCTCAGATTGCGGCTACCCTCTATATTTCGAGGGACGGAAATCCGCTGAAAAAAAAGTCAAAATTCGTTTTCGTGTCTAACTTAAAATATCGTCTGCACTTAATGATTAGCATATTTGAGATCACCCCCTTGAACTACTAAGAGTGAGTTCTAGACCTTGAAAATTTGATCGTTAGTATGAAAGTTATTCAGGGTGATCCGTTTTTTACACACTTTTTTATTCTTTTTTACACTTTGTATACATGACTGATATAAGTATTGGCAAAATTTGCAAAACTAATATGCACCGCAGTATTTTCGCAAAAAAGTTTTTAACAACTATGCAAAATCTGGAAAATGTATCCCAATATAGGATAATAAAAATCTGAAAAATAATGAAATATTTTCGCATATCTGCAAAATATAGAAGAGGTGCTCTAATACTTCCATAGTACCAAAATTATTCTAATTTTGGACTATAGTTATTTATTGAGAATTTTATTACAAAAAAGAATATCACATTTGACTAAAAATACATCTGACAAACTGAACCGAAGTCATTATTTTCTCACTGACACACAACCTTATTAAGTGTCCACCAACTTTTTTGGGACATAACTCTTCTTTCGGCTACGTTGCATAAAAGGAAAACCACCAAATTTCCCCACGGTTAGCCCGATAACAAGAAGATTGTTCCAGTAGTAACTAGTAATCAGAACTAATTTTTGCAATAATCCTTGCAAAAATGAGATGTTTCTAAAAATAGTATAATAATAAAAGTTCGAACAGCTATGAACAAAGGAAAAAGTCCTGCATTTAGTCCAAAGCATTCTATTTTATTATTTATGACTTCCTTCCTTCCTTTTTCTTCGCTTGTCCTAAGAATCTTACAGAAAAACATCTGGTTTAAAAAGATGTTTTTAAAAAGAATTTTTCAGAAGAATGTTCTCGCCTGCTCAAAAAGTAAAAAAACTTCTTGTTTTCGATTGATGTTATGACTTTAGCTTACATTGAAAAAGGAAGATAAATGTTTGTTCTGCATCGTTTATGTAAAATAATAGAGCTATTTTTGAAAACAGTCAAAAATAATAAATCGTTGTAATGATGAAAGAGTAACTCTCGAATGCCGACTCCATGAGGATTGAGGAAGATAAGTTTAAAAATTATGGCCATCATTTGAAAAATAACATAAATTTAGATTCGTCTAAGGCATGAATGTAGCCCATGGCAGTGGTTCCCAAATGTTATTTCGCGGAAACATAGGCTCCTCAGAGAGGTAACAAGGATTAGTACTTTTTAAAAACTAGTAATGAATTTAGAAACACGCAATTAGGCAACCAATAAATCCTTTTATATATAATATCTCCGTTTTTTTTAATGAAAATAAAATGTTAGCGAAAGAAAAAATAACATTTATTAAAAACTGCTAATTATCCTACGTCGAATGTTTAAATTCAAAATAAAACAACTAGATTCAAAAGTCAAAAAAATTTACTTTCTTAATAACCACTCTTCAGCATGCATATTTTTTTTCTTGTTTTAAGAACTTAAATGAAAATTCTACTTAAAAACTTAGCTGAGAAAATAATTAATTTAAAGATTATTAATAAAACAATAAAAAAGTTTCATTTTCTCACATTAAATATTTTCAATATAATAAGTTGTTTTTCTTTAATTATCAGTATTGCTAATGAGCATCGGGGTTCCACTAAAGGAAGATCGACTGCTTAAGGTTCCGTAGCTGAAAAAAAAATGGGAACCGCTGGCCTATAGTGTTCTATAATGACCACTCTTTATATATATTTCAAACTCTTTGGCAAAAATAAGGAAAAACAATCTCAGAACAGCGTCGTAAGGGACATTTAAGTCAAAAAAGATTTAATCAAAATATATTTATTCTGTACTTAGGAAGAAGTGACATAATGCCTCAAAACCAGTTTAATTGCCTAATGAAACTTTGAACTCTCTAAAAGCCTCTCTCATTTTATCAGCAATCAAAAAGGTTTTAATGTTTTTCTGTTCAGCTTTCCTCGGTATTGACTTTTTAGATTTTTTTACTAGGATTCTAGAAATACACAAGGATAATCATTATGTGACAACGTGGCTTGATTCTCATTGGCTGTGAACCTAGTTGGCGAAGATGAAATTCTATTTGATTAACCGAATTAGATGAAAACAGGCAATAACCGATTTCTCTCACAGTTAGCAGTTTGAATACCATTTCTTATGGTTATTTGACTATTATGATTGAATATGATAAAATAACGATCAAATAAATTGTTATTTAACTATTTTTTCTGAAACGTTTCTAACAATGCAGAAATTATAATTCATCATTTATATTTGCCATTTTTTTCTAAATATGTTCGAATTTTAAAAGTAATAGTTATTTTATTTTGTTATACGCAATATAGAGTTTTATACTGCAAAATTACATAAAAAAAAATATTAACGTTATCTCGTTTAGTCCATCTGTTACTTCATTTTTAGTTCAATTACAAATATTTACCATTTCTACTCGTTTGGTGGAAACTTTTCAAAATTTATTTTGTCTCCTTACCCTAAGTCTATTTAAATACTGAATAAATAGAATAGAATACTGCTTAACTTTTCTGCAATGAGATAAAAATTAAATTTAGAGTCAGTAACTAATTTGTAATTAGAGTTATTTTTTATTTCACAACTCAAATCCCATATGCTAGTAGCTTATTAACTATTCTATGAGATCTAATGTAACTTTATTTAAAATTCATTTTAATTTCACATAAATTTCTTATTGAATCAGAATTACTTTTCATGTAATTTGTATTAATACCAGTTAGTTAGAATGTTTTAAATTATTATTTTTTTAGATTATCCATAGAGTCCTTTAGAAATTCAGCTATACCAGAGAAATCATCTAAACTAAAACAATCGACCATGGAAACAAATTTTTATGTAAATTCCATACTCATGGAAATGACTGCTAGTTACTAATTTGTAATTAAATTTATTTTTTACTCTATCATTATTTTAGAACTTAATTCCCATATGCTTTTAGCTAATTAATTATTCTATGAGGTCTAATGTAACTATATTTCAAATTTATTTTAATTTTGCATAATTTTTTTAATCAATCAGTGTTATATTTCAGATAGTTTGCATTAAAACCAGTCAGTTACCATGTTTTTAACTATTTTTTTAAGTTATCCATAGAATCTTTTAGGAATTAAGTGACACCAAAAGAATGATCTAAACCATGGAGACAAATCTTTTAGATCATGTTACTTCCATGTCGTATATTACAAAATACTTATTATAAATTTTCTAGAAGATGTAAATTCTATGTAATATGGTACAAATTACTTATTATTTTGACTTGCAACCTGAGTAAAATTTAATAAATACAGAATTTTGATTTATTTATTAGTACAGATGCATGCAGGCTCGTGTGTCAATAACATAAATACAGCTTATAAGCCAGTCAGAAGGACAGATAGTACAATTCAGAGAAGTACAGGATTCGAACCAGCCACCTCCAAGCTACAGAGCGTTTGGTGGCCAGGGAAGAAGACCAGGTCAGGATTTTGACGACGCATTATTATTTTTTAGGAATAATCTATTATTTTTTTTTAGATCAATTTAGCCTTCCCAATAATTTCTATAAATGGACACCTGCATACATGTTGAGTACTTTTTTAAACACCTAAACAAGCTGTACAGAACTTAATGAAATCAAAAGAGATTATTTTTAACATTTTGAAATCAAGTTCATAGTTAGATTAACAACTATATATGTTGACTTGAAAAATATAATTATAAATATCATGTCAATGATATTAATAACAATCATGTAGATACAGAATTAGTACAAATTAAGGACGAGATTTTAAAATTTAATATTTTCGAAATTATTTGGAACAGAATTAAAGACACATTTTCCAGTTTGTTTTAGATTTGAATGTTTGATCTGTGGCCTTCTTTTTTTTTGGTAAACGAAAAATATTTAATCTGTAATAATTTCTAATCTGGTAAATATCTGTAAAAATATCTAATCTGGTTTCTAATCTGTAATCAAGTTCGTTTGACATATTTGGATATTTTACATATTTAGAAGTGTCACCCAACGCTTAAAAAATGTGTCATTTACTTGAAGTTCTTACTATGCTTTCGGCATTGGTGGTTCTAAAGCGAGTTGAGCATGCGAGTAACAAAGTTTGATTCTAGAGTCGTGGTGGCTCAAAGAATAGAGCGTTCACCTTCCAATGAGGTGAACCGGGTTCAAATTCCAGCGATGATTGGTTGATATGATTTCCGCACACGGCCCGCTTCGACCACAGTGCTGGCGTAAAATATCCCCTGTGATAGAAGGATCATAGGTTACAGACCCCTTGAGGTTAGGCTAACCGTGGGTCGTTTTCGGGGTTTTCCTCTCCACGTAACGCATATGCGGGTTAGTTCTGTCAAAAAGTCCTTTACGACGACAAATTTCTCTCAATACTTGATCCAGGAGTCAAGGCCGTAGCCAGGATATTTTTTCGGTGGGGGGGGGATATGGTAAGAAGCAAGGACAGTTTCAGACATGCAAAGTAGGGGGAAAACATTGTAACAAATATTGTTTATTCTGTTGTTTGCAAAAGTTGAACTAGTAATCAAAAAATATTACATAATAATCATTTTTCAATTAATATTACATAATAATTATAATCAATTTGTAAACAAAGTTTACAAAGACATGCGACGGGGATTTGGAGAAAATTTTTCGATTACTTTTTTAGGACAAACCGGAATATCCCGAAATATGCTTAATAAAGTTAGCCCTGTTAGCCTTTCTTCTTTAGTAGCATTTCTTATTGCTGTTTTTACGCGTTCAAGAGTAGAAAAAGTTCTTTCTGCAGTTGCTGTGGTGATTGGCAACGTAGCCAAAATTGATAACAAGCAATAAATGTTTGGGAAAAAGATATTGCCACATTCTTCCATTGCTGAAAGTGCCGTATCTGGTCTACTAAGGGGTTCGCGCAGGTTCCACTTTGATGCCCATACTTCCATTTCTCCCATGAGGTTTTCGATGTCAATGAAATCAGCGTAGATTCGGAAATTGCATAAATTAATATCAACGTTCACACAATACTTAGGTAACACTTTATTGAGAGATGCAAGAGTATCTTCGTGCTTCGAAAATCTTTCAATCAGTTGGGCAGCGAAACAATCTAAAAAAGGAATGTATATACTTTGACGGAAGTATTGCTCTGGGTCTGTGTTCTGATTTTTTATATTGCCAGGGTGATTTTGATAGGATGCCAATCTAGGAAGTTTTACATCTAGATCCAAACTTGTGAAAGTATTAAGGAGTTCCAAATATAGCTTTTGAAATTCATACTCGGCATTTTTTCTTTTGTTTAGAACTGTGTTGTTTATTGATTTTACATGTATCAAAGCTCCATTCAAATCTAGATGAATTTGTTGGAGTGCTTTGCTCAGTGGGAGAGTCACAGAAAAAATATCTCTACAAGCAAGTAAATTAATGTAAAACTCACTTTTAGTGATAGTAGAAATAAGATTGTCCGCTTTAGAGGAAGCATCGCAGTTTCCAGAAGCCTTTACTTCTTCGAGAAGTTGAATTATTTCTGGATAAAGTTCTTTGAATCTAATGATTGCATCATGGTTTTCTATCCATCTTGTTTCGCAAAAAGATATTATTTTTTTGAATTTTTCATTCGACAAATTCGTTTTCATGATGTCTTCTAAAATTTTCGTTCTTTTGGCAGACGATTTGATGAATTTTGTTATTGTTTTAACTATGCCAACACAGTTTCTAAAAGCTTGAATACTACAAGAGTGACTAATTGCTAAATTCAAAGAGTGTGAGGAGCAATGTACATAAATAGCTGTTGGGTGTAACTCTTTGATGGCTGCTTGAGCACCGTTAAAGTTCCCTCGCATTGCAGATGCTCCATCGTAGCCTTGTCTGACAATTTTTGAAACATTAACTCCTAAATTTCTTATTGATTTTAAAATAACACCAGCTATTCCTCGTCCAGAAGAGTCAAAAATTGAAACGAATTGGAGAAAGTTTTCTTTGACGATTAGCACATCACCTCTCACATCGATGTACCTTGCACAAAGTGTCAACTGCTCAGTTTGAGTTATGTCCATAGTTTCGTCTGCAAGAATAGCAAAAGAGCTTGCTTTATTGATTCTATCAACAATTGTCTCTTGGATAATGCTACCACAAATCTCTATTAATTCATTTTGAATGGATGGACTGATGTACATTGCATTACCACCACATTGGTTAATATGCTTTTTCAAAGTTTCATCCCCAGATTTAGCTCTCATTCTCAGTAATGCCCGGAAATTTCCATCATTTATTATGGGCTCATCACTATCTAAGTTTAAGGGTCCACTGTCTTTAGTTCCTCTTAAAGCCAATTCTCACCTCCCACAAAATATTAAGGTTTCGACAATTGGGACAAGTCTCTCTCTATTTTCTTCTGCTTTATTTTTGGCACATGAGTTTATTTTCAGGTCAATACTTTCAGTTTTTCCTTCGAAAATGTTTACAAAATTCTCCACCTTAGCGGTGCTCATCTTGTGGTATTCTGCTATAGTATGGGGCCTAAAAATTTCGTGTGCGTTTTTCCACTGCCGAGAACCAGAATTCGCAAGAGCAGACATTTTCTGGTGGCCCCCTTTTCCACAGGTAGTAGAACCAAACAAAACTCAATATTTACATAGAGCCGCTTCTAACTTTTCAGAATACGTCAACCACTTGTATTCATTCAGCAATTTAGACTAGTGTTCGATTCATGTCACTGACATCATTTACGTATAGTCCAAGATCTAAAATATTTGACACGGTTTCAGATGTAGTTTTATTGCGTATTGTATCGCAATCGGGTGAATTGCTGACTGTAAATGAACTAGAGGTGGACTGTTCATTTTCACAATTTCGTTTGGAATGTGAATAACTTAAAAGCGATGCTTGTTTTGCTCTTTTCATAACGAAGGCAAACGGTGAATCAGGAACCCAGGAACTTGTATATATCGTCCAAATGGACTTAGCCTGCCAGATAAAGAGTAAAAACTTTTACTTTTTACAAGTATTACATGTTGTCTTAGATTTTGAAGTTATTTCTCATATATAATATCAACTACAGTTCAATGAAATTAAGTTAAAAACATCATACTTATCGTAACAGTTAAATTTTTTCCAATTGCTAATTATATGCCAAGTGTAAAAACAGTAAAGCAAGATAGATGTTTATTTCACTAGGCATAGGTTATAAACCAGTTGAGCATAAAACATATTTTGTTCTCGTACATAATTTTTTTAGGCAAATTAATTACAAAAAGTGAAATTTTAAAGTTTTATTTAATGAAATGTCTTCTTTGAGATATATTTAACTTAAACAAATAAAAATGTTGCTAAATGTTGACACTAAATTTTAATATCACGATTGCTTTATCACGAATTTGATGCAATTTAATAAGAAGTGTAACAAAAATTTCATATGATTTTGAAAATAGCGACATAAAGTAAGGCCATAAGTCATAGGCCTTATTTTGTATGAATTGAATGAAATACTAAAATTTCAGTTGTTTCGAGTGCAATGCAACATGTTTTTTAAAAAATACAAATTTTTTTGAAAATGTTACTTTATAAAAATGCAACGAATGAATTTAATTTTACCTAAATCAAAAAAATTGGTTATTTATAAAAAAGTTTTTTCGAATTCAGATTTGCATTGTATGATATGGTATGATATCTCTTCCTTTAAAGTTCTGCATAAGAAATCTACAAAATGTTGACTAATCATGGAAACATATTACGTCTATTATATCTAACTCTTAATGAAGTGTACATTGGAGAATTTTTAACTCTTTTTATTCATTAAAATATTTTATTTGTAATAATAGTCATCGCAATTGTAATGAATAAAAATAGAAGAGATATGCACAAAAAATCTAGGAATTTGTCCCTATTTATGAGACAGTTAGTGGTTTTTCTTTAAAATGTAATAAAAATCACATTTTTTAAATTAAAAACTATTCACATTAACTTTATTTTCTTATAAAACAATGCATCGAAAATAAATTAACCAAAACAAATATTTTTCTTAGCAATTTTGCTATTTCATTTTTTGTGGAATATCATTTATTATCTCATTAAACGAATTTTTTATTTTTGTTACAGTTATAATATACCAATACATTGGTTTGACAAGGTTGAAACTCTTTAAGAACAAATGTTTTTTTAATAAGTCAACGGAACATGAGATACAAGAAATGTCGACTTATGAGCATGTTGTATAAAATGAAATTAGAAGAAATTCTATTTCTATATGATTTCAACAAATTGCTAATAGATGCGAGCCTAATTTCGAAAATCATTTTATCGAAACGAGCCGCATTTAAAACTCTTGTCAAACAATGTAATGGTAACATTCCTCTTCAAAAAATACTTGAAATGCCTACAAAAATATATCTAGAAATCAACCACATACCTGATTGAATATTCTTAAGTATGGATGAGCTCAAATTCGTGTGTCAAAATGATCACCACTATCCTAAAAGGCTGCTATTGCAAAGCTCTATTGTCAGTGTCGATGGGTCAGCATTTGCCAACTCAATGGACGATACCAATTGCTGGAAAACAATTGATTTCGGGGGAGGAGTCACAAGGTCAAGTGAAGATGATGCACTAGCGATGGTGGTGTAATGGGAAAAGGTTTGATTCGACAGTTTTTCTTTTTCTTTTTACTGAGAGGCTCAAGAAAAGAATAAAAAGTTTAAATCCCATATTTTCGGGGGGGGGATTTGCCCCAATGGTCCCCCCCCTGGCTATGGGCCTGCCAGGAGTTCCCTTGTCTACTGGATTGGGTTCAAAATTACAAGGCTGCGGGGCTAAACATTAGTATTCGTAAACCCATAATTGGGTAGGCTGCTTAACTACGGTTATAAAATAAAATAAAATATTTGATTCCTAATCACACAGCCGTTAAAATCCCCGGACCTTTCTTCATTTAATTTCTTTTATGTTGATTTGTCAAAGACACTTCTTATAAATAACCGAGTAAAAAAAATTGCAAAAACATATTTGTAGCATTAAAAACCATTATAAGTGTCCAATTCAAAAAATGTTTGAAATGAACTTGATTTCAGTTCAGGTATTTGTCTTGTAACAAAAAAGAAGCAGATCAAACTTTCAAAAAGAAAATAAAACTTTGATATATTTTTCTTTACTTTCGTTTATTATTTATTGTATATTTAGTCCAATAGTCTTGGAAATACATATATATGAAATCCAATCCTTCATTTGTGCTAACATTAAATTTCATTTTCAATTTATTGTCATGGTAAGTTATAAATTGTAAGAAAAATTATATATTTAAAGATCTTTCAACGATAACATATAAATCCTTTATGACTTAAATTTACTCCAAAATATTTACGCAAATGAAGAGAAAATATTTGCATGCATATTTTTAACATAAATCAAAATTTCATCACTTTATAAAGAATAACGTTTCAATGGTAAACCGTTAAAAAATTATGGGAATAATACAGTTTTAAGTAATCAATTTATTGAAAAGCTTTTAATATTCGAACTCTCCTCTGTTTCGGAGGAATTTCAACGTTTATCTTTCTTTATGTTTTTTTATCTGTCTATTTAATTTTCAGATTTCTACACATTCAAATCAAACACAATAATTCTAATATGGATCGTTGCATTACAAAACATAATCTTAATATATTCTTTTATTTATAACAGTTTCTGATCTGAGGAACTATTCGACTAATTTTTCTTTCAAATTCTTATTTTGCCATGTAAAATTACATTTTTTAAAATGATGAAAAATTTTTATACCTCATAATTCAAAATATTTTCGACCATTGTTAAATAAAATAACAAAAAATAATAAATAATTGCTAAAAGTTATTGTTTGCTTATTTTTGAATAAACAAATGTGAAAAATATGGGCCATATTTCTCAGATTCCTGTTTCCCTCTATATTTTGGCGTCAGTAAATCGAATTCATCAACAACAAAAGATATTAGTACGTTTTCGTAACTTAAAATATTATCAGCACTACTTAATTAGCATATTTTAGGTCACCCTATTGAACCTTTAAGATTGAGTCTTAAAAAGTTAAGATCCGATTATTGAACCTAAAGTTATTCAGGGAGGTCCATTTTGTACTTTATGTGCTCAAAATACAGAGATTGTAAGGGCAATAATTGAAATCGCATTGTCTTCGTTAGTTGAATATGCAAATTTCAATTGAAGCATTGACACTTAGTATAGATTATCTTCAAAATTATTTTGCTATTGCACGTCTGCAAAACTAAAAACATTGAAGTTCTCGCTTTTCGGACCTAGGTTAATTAAAGATTTCTATTTTAGATTATCTTGTATGGGTAAGGGAACTGATCTTGCATCAGAAAGGCTCTGAGTTTGAATCCCAGACAAGGGCTCTTTCATTCTCTCTGTCCTTACTGTGAAAGCAACGTTGGCCCACCTAATATGGTGCCCCAGAAAAAGGTGCCAACAAATCTGCCCTAATACGCCTGAATTGACAAAATGTCAACCCAGGTAGGAATTTGAAAAAAAATTTAGATTCTCTAAATAAAGCCCTCTGAATGAACCCTAAATTGTTTTAAGTGATATTTAAGCTAGTTGTCATTGTGGAGGACTTGATTTGGATGCTTGAATAGCCACCAAACTTCTGAAAAATGGGTAGCAGCTTGTCCGGGAAGTAAAGAAGATAGCGAACAATGCTGAAGACTGTGCAACCACTATGCCGTTGCTCACTTACCTCCATGATCCCCCTAGCCCACAATGGGCTGGAATGCTTTACTTTGATATTTGATCTCTTTATACAGCTATTTGAATAAGCCTTTAATTGAGTTCACTAATATGGAAACGTTTCTCGTCATACAGAGCCTCATAAATGAGCCTTAAAATGATTCCCCTGATATTTGAATAAGCCTTAAACTGTTGTCAACAATGAATCTTCTTATTCAGCCGTTTGAATAAGTCTTAAAATTTTCTTAATGATGTCTTAAACGGATCTTTTTATGCAGTCATTTATAAATAAGACTTAAATTGATTTCACTGATAATATCAGCAACGGATATCTTTATACGGTCATCTGAATAAGTCCTAAATATCTGAAGCCGATTTTCTACAAATCTTGGAGATCGATAGGTATAAGAATCGTTTTTTTTTTTTTAAATCTTTATTGGGTCTTCAAACACCTCAATACTTTTGGAATTTCCCACAAAACTAAGAATTTCCAAGAAATAAAAACCACTTGCAGAGGAGAAAAATTCTT